TAGGCTATGTATGTGTGTGTGTGTTTATATATATATAAGTTTTATTTATATATAAGTTTTTTTTTTTGCTTCATTGTTCTACTACAATGTTTCTATTTATGTTACTTCCTTAACTATTTTGGACACATCTAAATTGTCAGTATGAAAAACACTGTTTTCACTGAAACAATGCTTTTCACTGAAAATCGCCTATAATAATGTTGTAATAAATACCTATAACTTGCTTAGGGATTGTTGCATGTAGTCAAAATTACATCTGGAAATGTAAAATATCCAAGTACAGCTTTCTAAAAAAAAAAATCCAAACTTCAGGAGGATTTGTTTGAGTTGAGTAAAACAAATCACTACAAATATGCTGCCGTTTTTCTTAAATCTGGTAAATTCATCCATTCTAAGACAAATTAAATGTAAAATTGGATTATTTAAATGAGATAGATTGAAACTTCAAGTTCTCCTGATAAAAATGATATATGGCACTTGATGCTGACTACTATAATGGGTTAGAAAAACAAAGAAAAGAACAAGCGGTGCAGGTGCTCCAAAAATGGTCTAGTGTGCCTTTTTAAGTCTTTTCGTATTGGCAATTTTCAACCCTTTTAAAGGGATAGTTCACCCAAAAATGAAAATTCACCCACATGTTGTTCCAAACCCAAAAGACTTTTTTTCATCTTCGGAGCACAAACGAAGATCTTTTTGATGAAATCTGAGAGATTTCTGTCCCTCCATTGACAGCTACGCAACTACCACTTTAACACTTCATAAAGAGATCATAAAACTAATCCATATGAATTTAGCGATTAAGTCCAAATTTTCTGAAGAGACTCGATTGCTTTATATTATGAACAGATTTAATTTAGGCTTTAATTCACATAAACATTCATCAACACACACATCAGTAGAGGTAAACAAAAGCTCAAGCATGTTCGCTTCATGTGCGAGAACCAATGAGGTGCATTCTCTGTTACGCAGCATGTTTGAGCTTTAGCAAGAACCAATAAGGTTTGTCGGTTTGTTTTCGAGCATCAAGCAGGTTCAGTTGAGCTTCTGTTTATGTTTGATAATCAATAGAGGGACAGAAAGCTCTCAAATTTCATCAAAAAGATCTTCATTTGTGTTCCAAAGATGAACAAAAGTTTACGGGGTTGTAACGACATGAGGGCGAGTAATTAATGACAGAATTTTTTGGCATATTATAAAATAGTCAAAAATTTCCATTCTAAAATGGAAAAAAAAATATTGAACCTTTAGACAAAAAAAGTTTTGCTAATGTGTTTTTGTTGAGCATCATATTTGACGCATCAGGCCTCATATACTATGATATTGTGAGAATATGAAGCTTACAGACGAGGAGGAAAAAATATGAATTTTATGCAGTTGCTGATATTCACAGTTTATGGCAAAAACGTAAGAGTATATAACAGTATAGCAGAATATTTTAATAAAATGCATATAAATTAGGGCTGTGCAAAAATTAATTGCGATTAATCGCATCCAAAATAAAAGTCTGTGTTTACGTAATATATTTGTGTGTGCTATATAAATACACACACATGCATGTATATATTTAAGAAAATGTGTTATTCATATATAAAATATTTTTATTTATATAATATAGATTATGTATTTATTTATATATACAGAATTTAAGCGCACATAATTCTTAAATATATACATGCATGCATAGGTATTTATATATACAAAATAATGATATACAGCACACACAAATATATTATGTAAACACAGACTTTTTGGATGCGATTAATCGCAATTAATTTTTGCACAGCCCTAATATAAATATCAGTCGTCACTTTATATCTCCCAGTAATATGTTAAGATGATATTAAAATGCTTAGTTTTATGACCAAAGGTATTTATTTTTTATTGTGATAGCAAAACATATGATGACCAAAGCTATTTAGTTTTTATGTTGAAAGCAAAATATATGATGCAAATACAATTGTGAGATGATCAAATAAATGTTCCTCAAAAGTCTGAATCATATTTGATGCATACATTTTAGCATGATTTAAAAAAAGGATGTATGGATAATCAAGTAGCAAGTGTTCATCTTGAAATATTCTTAACAATTCGAAAATGATTCTTATGTTTAATTCATAAATCAGTAAAGAGTACCACGATTATTCTAAAAGGCCGTTTACTTGTTAATTTTGTTTAAACTATCAGTCAGAGACAACAGAAGGCATGCAGTCGGTTGTGTAAAATTTTGATCATGTTAATAATTTAGAAGCCTTAGAAAAAGTCCCAAGGACCGCCCACTTGTGAGTGACTACCATTATTTTAAAATACTTGAATCAAAAAATAATTCAAATTACAGTCACTGTAAGCAGTTGTGCTTGAAACATGCACCACATTTACAGACAAAACTCAGTCAAGAATGATTTACCATTCTTCCATCTTATTTACTGTCTACAACTTTGGTTGCTTCTGCTAAGATCCCTTAGCTTTAGAAGTATTTTCACTGCCTGTCAAGGGAAGGATTGTGTAATACGTCAAATTGAATTGTTGCATGCAGAATTATGTTGTGTGGTGATGCTTCCAGTAGACGCCACTCTTCTGAATGAAATGCTCCCCTGTTGGTGTCATGATGTGTAGAGTGTCAGAGCTGCTGCAGGGTAAAGGAGCTGGAAAGGCTGGACGTTACCAGGGTAAAGCCAACAGTCTGGTGAAGAGGGCAGAGGCTGAGTCCTTATTGCGAGAGCATAGCTGCAAACTCACTGCAGGAGAGGAGTAAAACAACCGCAGACACAAACAGGTGTGTTGATGATGATCCAGACTCTGTCTACACTGCTGCATGTGCATCAAGCGCTAAACTAGTGCCGTGGCGTGAGTTGCAAGGAAACTGTCTACATGAAAGCCCACAATGTGTCGCAAAGCTTCATTTTACACCTTTTGTTGATAGATGCTCTATTTCTACATTTGATGCACTGCATGAATGTCACAGTCCTGTTCAGTCTGTTTTAGGTTCTTGGACATGCTGTTTCGTTTACATTCATGATGTGTGTTTCTGGTTCTAGATTCCCGCCACGCATCAGTATCCATGGACACCAATACCGATCATCAAAGCTGTTCGTCATTGACTCATCATCACTGTGTATTTAAGTTCCTCATTGTGCTCACTTCAATGTGTGGTATTGTTTGTCACATGCTGGCTTGGATGTTGGCTGTATGTTAAATAAACCATGTGATGTAAGATGATGCATCATCTTCATCACTGTATACAGTAAGTACTCCAGCCAATTAATTTTTACTGTCCATCCAAATAATTTATAAATGAAGAGTTCAGATGCAAAAGCCTCTAAATGCCATTTGAAATTTTCTTCTTTAATGATGATTTTTATCAAACTTGTATATTGAAGTTCAGTAATTTCACTTAAATGGCAATGATAATTACCTATTAATTGTTATTTAAGTGAAATTACTGAACTTAAATATACAAGTTTAATAAAAATCATCATTAAAGAAGAAAATTTCAAATGGCATTTAGAGGCTTTTGCATCTGAACTCTTCATATTTATATATTAAGGCTTTAAGTAAAGTGTCACCGAAATCATTTTTTTTTTAATACTAATTAATTTTTGTAGGAACCGAAATGATACTGTTAAGCTTACAGCTGATTGAGAGCGAGTGTAAATTGGAGTCCTATTGTATCTATGAGGGTTTTTTGTCTCCTTTGTTCAATTTTAAGGAATGCACACTCTTCAGAAATTACCATATGGCTCATGATGTTGATTATTTGTCTGCTGATGGACTGGTTCTTAATAAAGACTGACGGAAAATACTGAATTAAATGTATCACATTTCATTTTTGGAAGGATATGAATAAGATATTGTGACAGCTGCTCTAATCTAAATACACTGTATTAAATTGTTACGTATTAGGCGTTTTATAAGTCTTTAGAAGATGATATGATGACAGAATTTTTAATTTGTGTGTGAATTATCCCATTAAAGTCACAAAATAGGGATGGGAAATAAATGTGTACATTTAGGCCCTTACACCTGGTATTAAGATGCGTCACGCTGGGTGTAAATGGGGTCTAAAATGTTTTAAGCTTGTCCACTTTCAACCACCTTCCAGTTCGAGCAGATTGCTTTTGTAGTGTGAATTCTCATGTCATGTGGCCGAAAGACCGCCTGTTAACATTATGGAAAGCCAGAAGGGATTTAAACTTTGCTGGCTGAAGACCCAAGTTTGGTTTGAAGATGAACAACATACCAAGCACAATGTTCTCTCACCATTCCTGATTTCTAACACACACTCGCAGCGTTCGGCTGGTCTTGCGACTCGGAGCAGAAATAAATGCTGCTTTTTGTTTTTCCGTCGTCTCTGGGCGCTTTCATTTGTAAATTACACAAGCTTATTTTGTCCATTAGACTGAAAGATCTAAAAAAAAAAAAAAAAAATTCAGGACAGAAGTGTTTGAAAGTGGACAAAACAGAGGGATATTCTGTTACAGTATCTGTTACAGATACAGACCGCATCTTAATATCAGGTTTAAACATGGCCATAGTGCCAAGCAGTCGTTTCAGTCTTAGGGATTCCTTGTAGTTTTTGTTGAAGACTGAAAATGTTCAATACTTTAGGTTGCTCAACACATGATTCACTCATACTGTACGACAAAACTTATTATAATCTTCAATAACATAGTTTATTATGAAAAAAAACAACGGTGGAGTATCCCTTTAAACTTTTTCCCAATTATTATCCCAGCTAATAATTTTACGTTCTGAGAACGTTCGTTTTTGGTTCCCAGAACATTCCCTATTGGTTACCCAGGAAAGTTTTCTTAGAATGTTCCCATTCTTATTTGGTTCCCAAAAAATAACCAAATGGGAACATTAGGGGAACATTCTGTGTTTGCTGGGATGCAGCATGCTATATTAATGACTACATGAATTTGGCTTACTGAATTGTACACTTTGTCACACCCTTTAGATTTATTTATAAAATGTAACCTAAAAAATGCAAGTGAAAAGAACATGTTTTCAGAGTTTTATTTTAAAAAAGACCTAAAGAATTTCCAAAAAATAGAATATTACAGAAAATATATTCAAAAAAAGTATACAGCTTAGATAGGACAAAATGTGTCATCCTATATATACTGTAGTATATTTTATTATTTCAGTTCTCAAAAAAGAACTTACTTCTTTGTCAAATACCAGACCTTTTCATCTAGATCCAAAAGCACTAAGGGGAGGTTTACACGACAGCCATGTACTATTAAAAAAAATACAAAAAGACGAGAACGTTGTCGATCCCCGTTCACGTGGATCTGCGAAAATGGTTAAAAACGCTGTATTCTGCTGGTGATGTCACTTTTTTTAAAGAAACACTACGCCTCTACAGAACGCATGTGAATGACATCACCGTTTTCACACATTCGTGTTTTTGTAGGTTACTTGGAGGCGATAACAGTATCGTTTTCAAACCCCAAAATGCGTTGTCATAACGCATGAAAAGTTTGCCATTTTTAGTTGAAAAAAATGTTGTCGTGTAAACAGCCCCTAAGATATAAAATTAAAAATTCTAAAATTCACAATTCTTACACAACACATCATAAACAGTACATATAACAGGGTTTAACTTAAACTAGTTATCTGCATCCCTGAGTTAGAAAACACTTTTAAACTGGCGAATTGTTCATCAGTTAGTGTTCCTTCGACTGATGGGATGAACTGGAAAATGTGCTAGTCTGAAATACTGTAAATAGTTGTGCCGTTGCTTACAGTCTTGTACAGTTCTTTCCCAGCTTAAAGCTGTTTCTTGCTTTGTAAACCGAGGGCTCCGGACACGCAGTACGGGATGATGCTGACCGTGGCCAGGGGAACAGTGGCGCTCTTGCAGAAAGACAGCAGGTAGAAGAGAGCAGCCGTGTGTGTGGGAGGCTTGATGGAATCGAAGAGATGCAGAAGAAACAGAGAGGAGACGATACAGGAGATCCTGGCGCGAGCGCTGCTGCTCTTCTTGCTTTCCGTGTACAGTGGGGAGTGAAGGCCGAGCCCCAGCCCAAACAGGGTGCCCATGTTCCTCAACAGGCTGGCGAACGGTGTGCTGTCCAAATGGACCCAGGCTGGATTGACGCACCACTTCTGGGCTTTCTCAATGGTCCAGAGAAGATCCACACCCAGAGCTTTCAGGAGCACGTACAAGCCCACAGCAAACGAGAGCAGAAACAGCGTGATGTTGAAGTAATGCTTTAGACTGGCACTATAGATCCATTTCTGTCTGTTGAAAGCCTCCGCAACAATCATGCCTGTGAAGGACACAAATAAGTTAAGAATATGACACATTTCTTTTTTGCTCCAGTTTCTCAACTGGTATTTAACTTGTCAAACGTTTGGAATGTTTTAATGTTAAAAGAAAGGCTCACTAATGCTGCATTATTTTGCTTTCAAATGCAGTAAAACAGTTATATTTTTTTAGAATTTAGAAGAACTGTGCTCTATTTGACTCTATTTTAAAGTGTAATTTATTTCTGTGATCAAAGCTGTATTTTCAGCATCATTACTCCAGTCTTCATCACATGATCCTTCAGAAATCATTATGATATCCCATTTATCGGTGCTCGATTATTATTAATAATAGTGGAAAGCTTATATTTAAAAATAGAAATCTTTTGTACTGTCACTTTTCATCAATTTAATGTGTTCTTGGTGAATAAACATATTAATGTCGTTTCTTTTATCGTTCTTATCCCAAATATTTTGAATGGTAGTGTATCATAGGTTCCACAAAAATATTAAGCAACACAAATTGTTTTTAACATTGCTAATTAGATTTTTTTATTATTATTATCAAATCAGGATATCAGAATGATTTCATGTGACACTGAGTAATGATGCTGAAAATTCAGCTTTGCATCACAGGAATAAATGACATTTTTAAATATATTGAAATAGAAAACAGTAATTTTAAATTGTAATAATATTTCACAATATTCCTGTTTTTACTGCATTTTTGATCAAATAAATGCAGCTTTGAGGAGTATAAGAGTCTCCTTTCAAAAACAGTAAATCGTTTTTTTTTTTTCCAAACTAGAAATCCCAAGGTCATGGGTTCAATTCACAGGAAAAGAGCAATCTGAAGCACTTTGTCAAAAAACAAAACACAGGTGCATTTCTAAGTCGACAATTTTAAAGCAACACTAAGTAACTTTTCCTCTGCGGTCACCCTACAGGTTGGAAGCGGAATTGTCCATTACTGTTGTCGTAAATAATTTAGCTTACCGCATCCCACTGTCGCACACACACGCACGCACGCACGCACATGGTATCTGTTTATCCAGCACCGGCTTTAGAATCATGATGACAATTCAAAAGCTACCTGGCTGCTAGGCATCTTACATGTAGTTGTAGTCTACTGTCGAGTACGCTCCATCTATCAGCAATGGGCTCTATGCACGGCGTTATTTCCGGTGAAGGATTAAGGATGCTCGATAACTTCCGCCGATCGTAGAGTCCAATGCAATACCGAGAATTTATATTGAATTTTATACTCCATGGTTATACTAATGAAACGTTAGTCACAAAAACAGATAAAACAGACACCCCTCGTTGTGTTAAATGCTTCTTTTTAAAATTATATTAAATAAACATAACTACATATAAAATTACATCGAAACGTATGTACGTTTCGTTTCAAAGACGGGAGGACAGTAAATATTGAAGACTCTGCCATAATCCCGTTTTCTCCGGTTTTCCTCCGCTTTAATCTACACAACCGGAAATGGACGAGCATCCTTGCGTTAAATGCGGAACTTATGGGTGCATATAGCCCATTGTAACGCTTAAAGCAAGTCAAATTTGTAGTAAAGCAAGTCAAATTTGTAGTTTTCTTATGTCTCATTCTGGATTTAACAGATAAAGGACCGTAAAGCGGTGGCATAAGTGCATTTCACCATGTCACAACTTGATAAAACACTGAAATGATTTTGAATACATTATTTTAAGGTAAAAAAATCTTACTTAGTGTTGCTTTAAGTTTCATCTATCGATGATGAATTTGTGAGATTCCTACCTGAAATAACGCCTGCGAAAACCTGATGGGGGAAATGAGCTGCGATGAAGACTCGAGAGAGACATACACAGACCTGGACCACCCAGAAGAGTGTCCAAAGTGAACCACGCAGGTATCTGACGAAAAAAAAAAAAAAAAGATGTTTAAATGTACTGCAGAACCAAAAATCTATTTTGAAACAAGCTTCTAATGCTAAAGATTGACTTACAGGCTCTTGGATGGCGATTTGTTCTCTTTGCTCAGCATTATGGCAAGGATGGACGTGACCAATGCGTAGTAAACACCAGCAGCGCCCATAGCGTGGCCAGATGGACTGCCTGCATCAAGAAGCAGATAAGTGATCAAAGTGGTCTTTTATGATGAAAAGTGTGGTACTTCTAGAAGAAGAAGACGCACCTGGGCCAGTCTCACAGGTCATGGGATACTGTTCAATATGTGGCGCTGAGCTGTTGATGTAGTAGGAAGTCTCGTGGATCCACCAGTATGGACGTTCTCCAAACAGGATCCTTGAATAAATGAATCAACAGTCATTTTTTTGTCAACTAATGTTTAAGTTTGACACATTTTTTTGCTTTGCTTACCATTTGAATACCAAATTGAGCCAATCCCCTATGACAGCCACCCAAATGAGCTTGATGCCGACTGATTCTTTCAGATGGAACCAGATGGGAAAGAAGATGAAGAAGGTGTTCCTTAGATCTGCCGCAAAGGAGACGAAAAGAAACCATCCTTGGGCGTCTTTGTAATGGGTCTGCAGGTATTGGGTGCTACTCACCCCGAACCCGTGCACTGTATCCATCACAGCATTCATGTTGTAGAGCTACTCGAGAGTGATAGTCCTCCACCACCTGCCTGTGGTTTTTTATACCAGCAGGCCCACCACCACAACGCATGGACAAACCGATCTTTGAACCTTGCACATGTGTAATAAAACACAGAGTGGAACAGAAGAAAAAAAACCCCGCTAGAGTTAAGAGCATGTTTGTCCTGTCAGAAGAGATAACGCACAAACAAGTTCAGGAGAAAAAGGACAGAAAAGACGTAGCAGTGAATCATTGAACTCATCTGTGACCTCAAAAACACACACGGCCTCAGTCAACATCTGTAATTGGATTTTGTTTTATATATATATATGCTATAATTATTGCAACACAATTTATAAAATAGGTAATAGGTTATGTGTGATTCTTACAATTAAGTAAAATCATATTTATTACACTCACCGGCCACTTTATTAGCTTGTAACAGATACACTTTTGAGATTTGGTCCATATTGTTTGAAATGATAGCATCACATATTTGCTGAAGATTTGTTGGCTTCACATCCATGTTCCACCACATCGATAAAGCTAATCTATTAGACTGCGATCTGGTGACTATAGAGGCCGTTTGTGTATATATGAAGAGTTCAGATGCAAAAGCCTCTAAGTGCCATTTGAAATTTTCTTCTAGAATGATCATTTTTATCAAGCTTGTATATTTAAGTTCAGTGATTTCACTTAAATGGCAATGATAATTACCATTTAATTGTTATTTAAGTGAAATTACTGAACTTAAATATACAAGTTTGATAAAAATCATCAATAAACAAGAAAATTTCAAATGGCATTTAGAGGCTTTTGCATCTGAACTCTTCATATATTGAAACAAGTTTGAGATGATTTGAGATTTGTGACATTATCCTGTTAGAAGTAACCATCAGAAGATGGTACACTTTAGATATAAAGGGATGGACATGGTCAGCAACAATACTCGGGTAGGCTGTAGCATTTAAAAATGCTTCATTGGTACTAAAGGGCCAAAAGTGTTCCAAGAAAATATCCCTCACACCATTACAGCACCACCACCAGCCTGAACCGCTGACAAGGGATGATTAATACATGCTTTCATGTTGTTTACTCCAAATTCTGACCCTATATCAGACCTAGGCTCATCAAACAAGCAATTGTAGCTTCAGTTTCGTCAGTGTGTCCTTCTGTAGTCCATCTGCTTTAGGGTTTCACGCAGAGATGTATAAAGTACTAGAAACCCGGACTTCAGTAAAAGTACAAGTGCTCTATCAAAAAAGTGACTTGAGTAGAAGTTGAAGTGCTCTTTGAGCACCGCACTTAAGTAAAAGTACTAAAGTATTCAAAAATGTTTGTACTTAAGTATTGCAAGTAGTTTATTTTAAAATTCACTACTTAAGTAGTGAAGTACAAGTACAAGTACAAGTATTGTGTCATGTAATTATTAAAGAAAGCAGTCAAAAGTTTGAACTAGCAATCAAATAAGGCACTTTGGCGGGATACAAATTTGCTTTGGCGGCCGCCAAAAAATGTCATTGCAGGACAACCCCTGCATTAGTTGTCAATGTGTGCCAATCAATACCATTACCCTATAAATCTGCCGAGCGATTTAGGCTGCATGAAAGCCAACTTGCAACGAATGATTCGTAAAATTTTCATAATTGTAACAAGTAACTAGCAGAACATTAAAAAAATATCCAAGTAAAAGTATTAAATTCATCGAAAATATCTACTGAATTAAACGTAGAAGTATGAGAAAACAATACTTTAGTAGAGTACAGATACAGTGTTTTAGTACTTAAGTACAGTACTTAAGTAGTTCTACTTCGTTACATCTCTGGTTTCACGTGTTGTGCGTTCGGAGATGCTTTTCTGGGCGGTTGAAATGAACCAGCCATTCTCCTCTGACCTCTGGCATCAACCAGAACCATTTTCGCACACCGAACTGTCGCTCACTGGATATTTTTTTTTTTCGGACCATGTGAACCCAGGGAGATAGGTGTAGGTAGGCCTACCTAATAAAGTGGCAGGAGAGTGTATATGTTACATTAAGAAAATTAAGCCTATTTTAGCACCAATAAAATTTGCATTGCAATAATATTATTAAGCATATATAGTTTTAAATGTAATTCAGAATTTTTAATTTAAACTTTTTAACTATTTAAATCGGCTACATTGCAAATACCACATTAAAGTAAAAATACTTCACAATTGAAATAATTCCTTAATTAATACAAGTTATTTATTATTTTTTGATTATTTTGATTTTTATTTATGTTATTTAGTAGTCCATTTGACTTTCTTTTTTTTTTTTTTTGCCAAAACAAACATGTTGCAATTAATCTATAGACCTACGTCATTTTGACTTTTGAGAAACTAGGGGAAAATTTCCTACAAACAAGAAGGGGAATCCTGTTCAGAAGATAATCTCAGAGCTGTGGGAACCTATCACTCCAAGACAGGCATTCATTTGGCTGCTTACATAAGCAGTTTCTGATTTGCTTGTTTACATGTGTGTTGTTACATAAGTAAATCATTCATTAAGTTGATCTGTAATGCTTAAATGAAGCTAAACTGCAATCAGGTTTTTCTTGTTGATATTTGAGATGTTTGTTCGTCCTTCAATTGCATTTTATTTTATTAAATATATTTACAGACCACCTTTACAGCTAACAAAATAGATAGAATGTCAAGAAAGTGTGTTTGAGAGCAATGTGTTTGTTGGTACAAAACTCTTTGAAATGGAGTTGTGTATCCTATGGGTGTGTCCGAAATTGCATACTGTACATTTGAATTAAAACTTACTTTGCAAATGTTAAAATATATATATATAATATAGTATAAATATGGGTTGTATGGATGAAATTCGGACATACTACATCCACCATGTTGTTACTGTCAGGTGACCAGTGTCAGTTGTGTCGCTTTATTTCCATTCATAAATGATCTCCAGTGTGCTTCCAATCTCCGCAGTAGTAGGTCATACTTTTCGCAAACTGTTTTTCAAATACTAGGGAAGTATTTTTAAATCCATGCCATATGTGTTTTAGTAGAAATGACATAAAGCTACACTGTGTGATTTTTACCCCCATCTAGTGGTGAAAAGGTATATGACCATCCAGGGAATATTAGTTTCTTTTTCTATGGAATATTAGGCCAATGTATTTCAAGATTAACATGGCTTCCAGTTCGACCTCGTCCATGAGTGTTAACTCAAACGTAAACGCAAAAGGCGAAGCTTGAATTAACGAGTATGTCCCTCTTTGGCTAATGTACTTTCAAGATGGAGGGGCAACATGACGACCGACATTAGAACCCCTTACCGTATGTATTTTCAATGGCATATTATACACTCACGAGAATACTTTATTACTTGAACGAAGTAAATATACATTAATGAGCACATATATTTTTGAAAGAACTAAGTGTTTTTAGCTAAGAATAAACTAAAAGAGTTACACAGTGTAGCTTTAAAGTATAAATTAATCTACCATAAATGCTAGTCAGTACATTCAGAAATACACTTTTCAAACACTATAACAAGTAATTATGAATTCCATGAAGATGTTAAGTACTTAAGTGGGTCAAAAAGCACTAAGCACTACTGTATGTATTTAATATAAATTTAAACTATTGTACACGTTTATGTAATTGTAACTATGCAATTAAGCCTCCAAATACACTAAAGTATATTATTTTAAAGTACACTATGTACGTATTAAGTGCCCTTTCTTAAAAGTATGCTAAAGTGTGCTTCTTTTTCACAAGGGAAGAGCCCATAAACATCCGTTTGTAAGAACACAACACCATGAAGTACAACAAAACAAAATGTCACAAGTCAAAACAGGAATGGATCAATGAATTTGTCAAAAAAGCCAAAGAGATCCATTAAAATTTGCATTAAATGCATCACTGTAAGATGTCATCATATATAGTGACATCACACAAATTGATGTGTCCACTCATTTTATCAGTGTTTGCCTCATCGGCGTCATCACTGGTCAAAGGTCATGAAATCGAGGGACCCTGAGTTCTCCAACCAGCATGCAAACAAAACCAATGCATCTAGCCTTGAATAAAGTCCAACTAAAACAGAAAACTGGGGTACGAGTTTAGACGAGATCTGGCAGGCTGCCTTCATATCTGCAGTTTGATCCCCATTCCCCATCCCTGCACCTTGTGTCTATCCTCCCTCTCGAGCGCATTTGTCCAGGGTGACCGTCCTGATCTCAGGCTACAGAGATGGACCTGCTTCACAGCTGGGGGGTGAACCTAGCTGTCCGTTTGCAGACCGAATACCGGGACTATGAGAATCTGTTTCAGTGGGTCTCCTCGGTGGCGGATCTCCACACCACATTCTTTGTGTTTTTCCCCATTTGGTTTCATCTGCGCAGAGACGTGGGTGTTAAACTCATCTGGGTGGCCGTGGTTGGAGACTGGCTAAACCTCGTCTTGAAGTGGTGAGATGCTTTTTTGTTTGCGTATTCTTCATTTAAAAGCTTATTAAGGGGGATACTAAAAAATGTGACAAGATTACGCTGGCGCATTATCGATAAATCGAAAATGTGTATAAATTGGTGCATTATCAAAAATATTGACCCACTTTACATTAAAGGGATACTTCACCTCTGGAAAGATGAATGTGTATTTAAAATGGGTCATTTATGTAGCAGAAATGTGAAATTATTTTTGAATTTGGAACTTTCTGAGAAACTCCCAGAATGCACTTGCTTCACTGCCCTAGGAGGCCACGCCTACCGGTTGGTAACAGAGCGCAGTAGTTAAAGTGTTTCGAGATGTCCCAAAATGTCCGGGATTCGGCTTTTTGCTTTTGCGTTCTACAGTCGCCATTCATAATGTTTACTGTGGCGAGCATGAGCAGGACGAGGCTAGGGCCGCGGGAGAACGGCGAGAGGCCGGTGGCGTGATTACCGATGAGCGACACCTGTGAGACGCACCGGTCTCGTATCTTTCACGGAGGAGCGGGAATTTTCTTAGCAATGCTAAAACGCACATCAACCGATCACTTTTTTAGCGTTCATGTAAACACTACATTCAGATTCACTAATCAGAATGAATTCAGTTAGATTGAAACAAAAGGTGTGCATGTAAACCATGAATGGCGACTGCAGAAAGCAAAAGCTGAATCCCGGACATCGACGGCCTGAGAAAAAAGAGGATGGTAACCCCTACTCCTCAGCTTTCTCCACAGAACAAGAGCCTGCTAGCTTAGCTTCCAAATGAAGATGGCTGACACTGTGTGTACATTCTGTGAGTGAGATCCCTTTGGGATTCCCTTGAGAACATGCGGGATTGTAGTCTTTATACAATTAAGGATCCTAAAACAAGTCTTCCATACTACTGATTGTAGTCTTTAGCCTCTGGCCAAAAAATCCTCAGATGTCGCAAAATTTTTCCATACAAAAAATACATAAATCTCTCATCTCAGGAGGATATGAGGGTGGAAAGCATGGTAATTTGGAAATACTAAAGGGTTTCTACTAATACAAAGCTTAATGCTAAATCAGTATCCCTTTAAATGTCTTTAACTACTGTGTGCGGCCATTAAATTAATGAAAAAATGCACTTATTAATTGTGTACATACGTCTTTACATTGTAGTTATATTTAAATAAAATATTGTAACTACATGCATGTAATTACAGTTGTAAGTAATCTGTAATTAGACTGTTAAACCGACCAAATGTCCTTATGTTACACTTAATATAAAGTGCGAGCAAAAATGTTATTTCTGTTAATATTAAACATGAATTATTTCAGTTATTATGTGTTAGATAAATATTATTTATAATAAATAATTCAATTGTGTTCCATGTTTTCTTTGTGTTCCTATTCTCCCTCCCATCGATTTTTATATACATATACATTTTTGATGTATTTATAGGGTGCTTTTCGGTGAGAGGCCGTACTGGTGGGTGAATGAGACTAAGTTTTATGGCCCTGTAAAACATCCTGAACTGCAACAATTCCCCATCACTTGTGAAACTGGACCAGGTATATTACAATATTTATTACACAGCTATCTGAAATACTTGATTTTGTTTGGTCAATCACAGCTTTCTTCAGTCGAATAGTTTTGCATAATGACTTGACCTTAATCTCTCATTTTTAGTGAGAAGAAGTCTCTTTCTTCTCACTCAATGAATTGTATTTAATTTCAAATAATTATTTAATTTCTGTTTATTAATTTATTTTGGTAAGTTGTCATTTAATAAATCGGTCAGTTCTGCTAAATAAAAGCTTCCCAGTCTGTGTTTTTTTTTTTTTTTGCAATAATAAATGGCTGACTGTACATTATATCCCCTTACTTCATAAATATGTATGAAATACGTAAAGTAAATCTGCTCCGTAGACCAGTAGTTGTGCAATTTAACTAATCTATTCTGCTGATCTAATCTATCATGTGGAAATGGATCTGGCACCTGGCTATCATCCTGTTCCAGTTCAAGGGCCGTCTTTGAGTGAAGTCACACATATTACTGCCAAGTATCCATTCATTCTTGACCTGAGTTAGTACTCTGGACCAATTAACATGGCTCATAAATAACCTGCATGAACTGATATTTTATCTAAATGACTGCTGGTATTTTGCCTAAGCTGGTTCACAGGTCTGAAAACCAACCAATAAACCAGCCAAGACCAGCAAACCAGTTTAGACTGGGAAGTTCCTGAACAGATGTACAGTATCTCTGATCAAACAATTGTTTTTCCACAGTGTTGGGGGTAACGCATTCATTTACAATGTGAGTTTTGTATTCAAATTTAAACGCATTACTTTTAAATTTGCAACAAAATATCTCACTTATTTTATTATTATTATTTTCAAATAAGTAATTTATTGACTGACAGGTCCCCTACTGTAAAAAAAAGTATATGATCAATAAGTTATGACAACATGTTTTTACATTGCTTTAACGTACCAAAATAGGTCAACTTGTTTATGTTATACAAGATTCAACTGATTTTTTCAGTTTTTTGTTCGGATTTTTTCTTCAAACTGAAGTCAGTTTGATGTAATTTAAGTTGAAATGACTTAAACATCTAAGTTGATTGTACTTAAAAATTGAAGGCAGCAACTTTTTTACAGTATGTCCGTATGTACATTATATACAGTATGCACAGTATATTGTTAAACAGTCAGAAATAAAATAAGAATAAATAAACAAATTACATAGTCTTCACTTTCTAAATTAAATATAGATTAATCCTTAAGTTATTCAGTCGAGCAGTGACTGTATGTTTGTTGATTAACAGACAGCAGCAGTATATTAGGTCACAGTCACTTTAAGAGCTGCAAAATACTGTTACACGCGTTTTAATCGTCAACTTTCAATGTTTACATAAGATATTACCAATACAAACTGTTTACTCGCTGAGACCAGCATTTTTTGACATAATTTTGTGTGAATATGCGAGCCCGATCTCACGAAAGTTATAGCATATAGCACGAAACAGTTTTTGCGTGTATATGGTACGCGTTTTTCGCGTGCAAATGATACGCACTTTTAGGCGTATAATACGCACGAACTCCCCACCCCCCTCCCCCCTAAACCTACCCCAGGGTTTTTTAGTGCGTAGCATAAGCACGCAAATAACATTTTTGGTGTATAAATGCCACGAGAAATGACATTCGTGGTATAGATACACATCTTCATGAGACTATGTTGGAATATGCGCAAGAAGACGTGATAGAGACATGAATTCAAGCGCAAGACTTGAAAAAGAGCTCAATTCAGCATTCATTCACACACTGTCTGAGAAGCCACACACCAAACTTCTCACAATTTTGCATTTTTTCTTTCGCATCTTCCTGCGCTTCAATATTTAAATTGGCAAGGCTTAAAACATGTGCAAATGATAAACTTTTGTGATGCAGCACTGGCCTGATCGGGCAAGTGACTGTTGTGTCAACTGTCCCGAACGACGTTTACTCTGGCTGGCCCCCTGCCCTGGGCCAGTCCTATTGTCGAACCCTGATGATGTTTATTGTAGTATTGCATCCCATTCAACCATACATACAGTACAAGCAAAAATGAATTAAGATAAGCATCACATTTGTATTTCAATTATTGCTCACTTTTGGTGTGAAGGGCCTTTACATTTGTCAAAAATAGAACTTTTTTGGAATTAAAAACAAAAACGCAAGCCCTGCCCTGATGAGGAAAAAGTAACATCATGCATTACTTTCCATAAAAAGTAACTAAGTGACTCAATTAGTTACCTTTCTTAAGTAACGCAATATTGTAATCCTTTCCACAAGACTGGTGTTCACCAATGTGCTTGTTTGGTTCTCTTTGTCAGGGAGTCCGTCGGGTCATGCCATGGGTTCTGCAGGAGTTGGCTACGTAATGGTTACAGCTGTGCTTTCTATTGTTGCTGAAAGAAAAATGCCTCCTTTAAGTTATAGGTGAGTCTGAGACATGAAAATAGGTCTGTGCCTGAACATCATCAGGGCTTAATGCTTAAATATACAGTAATGTCTGCTTTTAGATTTTTTCAGTTGATGCTCTGGAGTCTTCTGGGTTTGGTGGAGTTACTGGTGTGCATGTCTAGAGTCTATCTGGCTGCACATTTCCCACACCAAGTTATCAGTGGAGTTATTTCAGGTAGGTTTTTTCATACAAGTATGTGGGCCAATGACATAGAGTTTCCATTATGGAAAAAAGGACATTAAACTTTTATACCATTTTAAAGAATATTTAATAAGTAATGACTATGTAAAATAATAATAATAATAATAATATAATATATATATATAGTATATTTCTATATTTGGGAGTTGCACCACATGACAATTCACAACCTGTTTTTGATATACTTATTGATACTATTATAATACTATTTTAGATATTTTACTACATGAAGTTAAATTAAATGAAAATTGTAAAGGTCCGAAATGAAATTTTAGTTTATGTTATTTTTTTTTTTTATGTAACACATTTGTCATGTTTTAGTTGTTGTTTTGTTTTTCTGTTTTAATTATCTATAATAACCCTTTCAGGAACTTTTCATTTACCTAATATATTGATTGGCTTATTGACCTTGACACAGTTATTTGGAAGCTAAAATTTTTCAAATAAGTAAGCAGTGAAGCAGTTTTGTTCATTAATAACAAGTTTATTAATAATAATAAATGATTATGGCAAACTACTCGGTTATTTTCAAGAATTTCATCCTGTAAATGAAGCTTGTTCTCCTTTATTATGATATTAAGGCAGATATACCACCCACCCCAAAAATGTCAAAATGATTTTCAATTGAGAAATTAAATATATGCTCATCATACCAGAGTTATATTCAAGTCATTTATATGTAACATTTTTAATGTATTTCTGAAGAAATAATGAGCAGCAGAAAATGATATTTTACAGTTTACTTTACAGTGCATCAGCATTTGTTGTTGGTCTTTATTTCCAGGAATAATTGTAGCAGAAACATTCTCCAGAGTGCAGTGGATCTACAACGCAAGTCTGAGAAAGTACTTCAACGTCACGCTGTTCCTGCTCTTCTTTGCTCTGGGCTTGTACGTGCTCCTGAAAGCTCTGGGTGTGGATCTGCTCTGGACATTGGCAAAGGCAAAGAAATGGTGTGTGAATCCAGACTGGGTCCTTATGGACTCCACCCCCTTCGCCAGCCTGTTGAGGAACATGGGCACCCTGTTCGGGCTGGGGCTTGGTCTTCACTTGTCATGCTACAATGAAACAAGAAGCAAGAAACACAGCAGCGGCTCTTTCAGGACTGGGTGTATTGGTGTATCTTTGGTGTTGCTGCAGCTCCTGGATAAGATGACATTTTCCTCAAGCAACCAGATCCTTTTCTACCTTCTGTCATTCAGCAAGTGCGCTGTTGCTTTGGTACTTCCCACTGCACTTGTTCCTGGAGCCTTATCTTGGATTTCAAACGAAAACAAGCATGGAAAGGACATGTAGTGCAATACTCAGGCAAAACTTTGCTAAATGGTAAACCATAGAGTTTGACTGATGCAGATTTGCATTGCAACTGATGCAATCGTTCAGCAAACGTTTTTGCAGTGCACCATTTAAAAAAATACCTCAAATGGCATGTACAGGATGGGTGGATACTAATAGCAATTAATTGCATCCAACATTAAAGTTTGCGTTTATATAATATGTGTGTGTACATATACATATATGTATATATTAGAGATGCACCGATATGAAATTTCTCAGTCGATACCGATAGCCGATTATTTAGAATGATATCATCCGATGTCGATAGTCGGTTTTTTTCTTATGGATAAAATCCCAAATAATGCTGAAAACTAGAGAACCCTCTCATTTGATGGCCATAATATTAGAGGTTCAAATTAACAACAGAGCTATTATATTCAACTGCTATTTATTTCCAGATATAATATTTACACTCAAACAAAAGCTTAAATGTTTGTATACAACTCCGTTACACTTGTAAGGTAGTTTTCATTTCATGAATCACTTGTCTTTATGGCAAATTTATTAAAACAAAGGATTATTAGAAACACCTGTTCAATTTCTCATTAATACTATCTAATCTAACCATGGCAGCTCCAATGCATTTAGGGGTGTGGTCCTGGTCAAGACAATCTCCTGAACTGCAACCTGAATGTCAGAATGGGAAAGAAAGGTGATTTAAGCAATTTTGAGCGTGGCATGGTTGTTGGAGGCAGACGGGCCGGTCTGAGTATTTCACAATCTGCTCAGTTACTGGGATTTTCACGCACAACCATTTCTAGGGTTTACAAAGAACGGTGTGAAAAGGGAAAAACATCCAGTATGCGGCAGTCCTGTGGGCGAAAATACGGAAAATGGGCAGACTGATTCAAGCTGATAGAAGAGCAATTTTGACTGAAATAACCACTCGTTACGACCGAGGTATGCAGCAAAGCATTTGTGAAGCCACAACACACACAACCTTGAGACGGATGGGCTACAACAGCAGAATACCCCACTGGGTACCACTCATCTCCACTACAAATAGGAAAAAGAGGCTACAGTTTGCAAGAGCTCACCGAAAATGGATAGTTGGATCCATCATGCCTTGGAACATGGATCCAACATGCCTTGTTACCACTGTGCAGGCTGGTGGTGGTGGTGTAATGGTGTGGGGGATGTTTTCTTGTCACACTTTAGGCCCCTTAGTGCCAATTGGGCATCATTTAAATGCCACGGCCTACCTGAGCATTGTTTCTGACCATGTCCATCCCTTTATGGCCACCATGTACTCATCCTCTGATGGCTACTTCCAGCAGGATAATGCACCATGTCACAAAGATCGAATCATTTTAAATTGGTTTTTTGAACATGACGATGAGTTCACTGTACTAAAATGGCCCCCACAGTCACCAGATCTCAACCCAATAGAGCATCTTTGGGATGTGGTGGAACGGGAGCTTCGTGCCTTGGATGTGCATCCCACAAATCTCCATCAACTGCAAGATGCTATCCTATTAATATGGGCCAACATTTCTAAAGAATGCTTTCAGAACCTTGTTGAATCAATGCCACGTAGAATTAAGGCAGTTCTGAAGGCTGAAAGGGGGTCAAACACAGTATTAGAATGGTGTTCCTAATAATCCTTTAGGTAAGTGTATATATCTCCGTTCTATTCTGCATGATGAGACATTGAGCCCTCTCGAATCCTCTCGCATGATTATGATGAATTTATGTGCCTGTAATTATCACTTAGATCTTTCCAAGATTATTTGAGCATATTGTTGGCAAGTCATCATATTATGGAGCCTCCCTGCATATCTAGTTACTGTATGAATGGTTTTAAAGGAGGCTGGCCCATTCACTAAGTAACTTTCATTCAGATCTTATGTTCAAAGGTCCCTCAGTCATGATCTGGACACACAGTACGGCTGTGATCTGTACATTGTTCCCATGACTGCCGTTATAGGGATCATTCATCTCAAAGTGAGTTATTGCACCATTCAACTACACTTAGAATCCACGGTGAAAAAAAAAAAAATGCTACTTGCAGCCAAGCTCATTTTGTACTAAGTATATTGTAGTCATAATTAAATTGTAGTAAAGCATAACTTTAAATGTATTTAGTTTACTTTTGGGTCCCACTTTATATTAAGTGGCTTTAAGTACTATGTACTTACATCGAAAAATAAGTACAATGTACTTATTTTGTTCAGATTGTATTGTAAAACACTTTTGTTGCTATTGAGGTGTGATACGGGTAAGGTTAGGGTTAGGTGTGGTTGTATAGGTCGGTTTAAGGGTGGGTTAAGGTGTAAGGGAAGGGTCAACTGTGTAATTACAAATGTAATTACATTTATTAATTACAGCTGTAATTACATGCAGGTATTTTCAAAATATAAGTACAATGTAAAAACATGTATGTACACAATAAGTCCATTGTATCAAAGTATTAATTTCAATGTAAGTACATAGTACTTAAAGCCACTTAATATAAAGTGGGACCGATTAGTGATATTAAAGTGTACTTTATTTGTTTAATTCATTATGAGTGTCTTTGAAAGATACAAGCAATATACCATTAGTGTATTTATAGTTGTATTTTTTATTTTATTTTTTGGGCGTTTTTGCCTTTTAGTAGGAAAGGACAATTGCTAAACAGGAAGTGAGGTGGGAGAGAGAGGGAGTGACAGGATCGAGAAAGGTCCAAATGGGACTCAAACTCGGCTCTCCTGAATCACAACGGCTACATCGTAAATGTTAGTACACTTGCCCACGAGGCTATTGGAGCCAACTATAAGTCCATACTACGAATTGCACACTTTGTCTTCTGCTTAATGCACATTAATAGACAAATAATACTTAGCTATACTTGATACAAAATACTATTGTAAACTACACTCACCGGCCACTTTATTAGGTACCCCATGCTAGTAACGGGTTGGACCCCCTTTTGCCTTCAGAACTGCCTCAATTCTTCGTGGCATAGATTCAACAAGGTGCTGGAAGCATTCCTCAGGGAGTTTGGTCCATATTGACATGATGGCATCACACAGTTGCCGCAGATTTGTCGGCTGCACATCCATGATGCGAATCTCCCGTTCCACCACATCCCAAAGATGCTCTATTGGATTGAGATCTGGTGACTGTGGAGGCCATTTGAGTACAGCGAACTCATTGTCATGTTCAAGAAACCAGTCTGAGATGATTCCAGCTTTATGACATGGCGCATTATCCTGCTGAAAGTAGCCATCAGAAGTTGGGTACATTGTGGTCATAAAGGGATGGACATGGTCAGCAACAATACTCAGGTAGGCTGTGGCGTTGCAACGATGCTCAATTGGTACCAAGGGGCCCAAAGAGTGGCAAGAAAATATTCCCCACACCATGACACCACCACCACCAGCCTGAACCGTTGATACAAGGCAGGATGGATCCATGCTTTCATGTTGTAGACGCCAAATTCTGACCCTACGATCCGAATGTCGCAGCAGAAATCGAGACTCATCAGACCAGGCAACGTTTTTCCAATCTTCTATTGTCCAATTTCGATGAGCTTGTGCAAATTGTAGCCTCAGTTTCCTGTTCTTAGCTGAAAGGAGTGGCACCCGGTGTGGTCTTCTGCTGCTGTAGCCCATCTGCCTCAAAGTTCGACGTACTGTGCGTTCAGAGATGCTCTTCTGCCCACCTTGGTTGTAACGGGTGGTTATTTGAGTCAGTGTTGCCCTTCTATCAGCTCGAACCAGTCTGGCCATTCTCCTCTGACCTCTGGCATCAACAAGGCATTTCCGCCCACAGAACTGCCGCTCACTGGCTGTTTTTTCTTTTTCGGACCATTCTCTGTAAACCCTAGAGATGGTTGTGCGTGAAAATCCCAGTAGATTAGCAGTTTCTGAAATACTCAGACCAGCCCTTCTGGCACCAACAATCATGCCACGTTCAAAGTCACTCAAATCACCTTTCTTCCCCATACTGATGCTCGGTTTGAACTGCAGGAGATTGTCTTGACCATGTCTACATGCCTAAATGCACTGAGTTGCCGCCATGTGATTGGCTGCTTAGAAATTAAGTGTTAACGAGCAGTTGGACAGGTGTACCTAATAAAGTGGCCGGTGAGTGTATAATGTATTTTGAAAGTATACTTTCAACGCATTTTTACAATGATAATTTCCAGCACACAGTTTAAATATAGACTTACGTACCTAAAATATATATTTTAGTGCATACACTTAAATACTCTTAAAAATAACCAGAATTTTCTCTTCAAGTATATTTTTAGAAAATATATATTTTTTTAGAAAATATAGTACAATTATTTTTGTGTTAAAGGCTGTGTGAAAATAGATAAAACCATGATGCTAATACACTTTTAATATATTTGAAGATATATTTTTTGTTAGTATATTTGCAATGTACTACTGAATATGGAATATATTTCAAATACAATAAAGTATGTTTTCTTTTTCACTAGGGATACTTGAAGCTTTACGTCATACAAAACCCTGGCTTTAGATGAACAAAGAATTCTACACATTAGATTAGATCCATTTAGATTAGATCCATTTTTTTTTGAACACACATAAATAACAAAAATCAATTAGCAAAAATCGGCTGTATACATAGCCAATTTTTGAGTACCATTATATTGTATTATGTTATACTGAACTTACATGCAGTCCTAAGCCAAGGATATCTCCAGAGATATTTTTTATGACTTTAATTATGGAATATTGTCTCTATGATTGGCCTATATTCTTTCTTTTTTTATCCCTCAACAATGTAATTGCATGCATGCATTTATTTCAGTTTTACTTACAGACTACTTTAACTGCACATGATTTTGCATAATAAAAGAATAAATGTTTATATTGTGGAGACGTTGTTTGTTTCTCTTTTACTTCAAACTTATCACCAAAGCCTCTGATCATTTTTCAGATCCAGTGGGCATATTAGCTTTCAATATTACAAATTAATTCATTATTACTATTATTAATTACATTGTGTTTGGTTGGTTAAAAACATACTTTTATACTAAAATACTTTTCTAAAAAAAAAAATAAAATAAAAAATCCCATCCACATTGATTAATTTTCCTCCTGAGGACTGCTTTTAAATATTAACTTTCCTTGCCTACTTTTCTCTAACCTCTTTTATAGACTTTTAAATTTTGTTGTTCAGTGGGGTTTGTGATGGGCGTAGTAGGCCAAAGTGCAGAACATTTTGTTTATGTGCTTGGTGGCCAGGAGAATCTGTGCGGCCCGTTACATCACAGACTGCACAAACATCCTTATCAATGTTTTTCATTCCCCACTGAAGGTTACGGGTGTAACATGCAACACAGCACTATTCTGTCCAGAAAAATGCGATTTGGTTATTGGCTGTAAAAAAAAAAAAAAAAAAAAAAAAAAAAAAGTATATTTAATGCAAAAACTGTCATTAATGCACCCTCATGTCGTTCCAAACCTGTAAGACTTAATCGCTCGATTCATATGGATTAGTTTTACGATCTCTTTATGACCTTTTTGAAGCGACAAAGTGGTAATTGTGGCAGAAACCTCTCAGATTTA